CTCTATAACATAATATATATAGATATATAGTATTATATATATATATATATATATATATATATATGTATTTTTTTAGTAGTCATGAAAGATAGAGAACAGGAAATCGAAGGCACTAATGATATTGAAACATTAAAGGAACATAAAAGAAATATAGAAAGGAAGGATAAAGTGAATAAAATTATTATTGGGGATATACATATATGTTTAATGGGGAATTTTAAGATTAATATAACTTATGATCATGTAATGTTATTAGATTTTTCATATATCAAGAAAGTATCATATGTTAAGAAAAGTACAAAGTAACAGAAGTACACAGAATAAAAAGTACAGGATGAAATATAAAAGAATAAGATATAAATATTAAAATAAGATATAAATATTAGAGAATTAACTATCTCTTTCGTGGATAGGAACAATTTCTAAACAAAAATTTCTGGCAAAAAGAAATTAAAACATTAAAAGATTTCTTATTTACAATTTTTTTATTTAGAAAAATTAATATTTTTTCATGCAATTTTAGTTTATACATTTATAAAATTATATATTTCATGCAATTTTAGTTAGTTTATACATTTATAAAATTACATTTCCTCTATTTCTCTTTTTCTCTCTCACCTTTAATTATAAAATACTTCTTTTACATTTTAAATGAGTTTATTGTATGTATAAGGAGAAAGATGTAAACCCAGGAATATCTTGAGTAGTTTTATAACATGCTGTATTTTTAGCATACTGTTTTTTATTCCTTTTATAAGTTATTATAATGTGTCTAAGTAAAAAAAAAAAGAAAAAATAAGATCCATAAAATTAGCATAGAGAGTCAAAATAAAAACATCTTTATTAATATCAAAATAGAAAAATGCCCTTGAATACAATAATCTTTTTAACGATAGATGCAATTACGTTTCTATTCTTTCTATAATAGCGAAAATTAGACAGACGAATTTTCATCCATACGTTTATCCATTAGTAGCGCTGAAAAAGCGTAGCATCAGAAACACGCTACCTATGTAAAATATTTAATATAAGGTAAGATTTAATAAAATCCCCAAAATTCCGATCAAAATTCTCTCGTTATTATTAAACGATGATAGAATATTCAATCTAAGTCGTCTTATACATCTTTTGAACGCGCGTTGGGTCTATTTGTCCCGCGGCAAACAATTTATTTCTCTCACGACTTTGTAAATTTTACCGTAGGACCGAGCCGTCCATCTTCGGTCTTCTTTTCCGCGCTACTTTGCGCTGCTTTTCTTGCTCTTCACTTTACCTTTTGCCCATTTGTCTTGACATTTTTTCCTCCCGATTTTCTCTCGGCCAAGAAATCCGCCTTGGAGCGAGATTTATTGCTTCCGATCAATCATCCGTACCGAGGTTGTCTTAGACGCGAAACACACACCAGAACCATGTCCAATTATGGGGAAGTTAATTTTTCACGTGGACGGTAAATCTCAGTCGTTATAGCCGACACTGATTTTCAGAAATATAATAGGAGATGCTTCTTCCTTTGTGGCGACAGAGGGAGAGACAAATAATACAATTATTTTTCATATTTCATGTAAAATTGTGTTAAATTTTATTTAAAAATATTCTATTTCTTTATTTCTATATCCTATATCTATATCGTCGGAAAAAATAATATATTTTATTATATAAATATATAAATTTATTATATATATATACTATTTTTTATAATATTTTTGCTTTTGTAATTGTGTGACAAATACACGCATTTGTTGATTGAGGCATTGTTTCGCCAGTTACTGTTTAGTTGGAGTTGTCGCAAAGGAACGCATTTGTACACCGCATGTCCAAGATCGAATCGAATGTCGGTCAGGAAAATAAAGAAACACCAAGAAGTTTCGTTGCTTTTGCGTGATTTATAAGAGCCATATGGACATAATAGACTACAGCTTAATAGAATGCGAAATTTGAACCATATATAGAAACTGACCTAGATTTATTTCACTATATAGTATATGCATCGTACCACCTACTTCGATATTAATATTTTTTAAATTCAGACTGATGGTAGTCGCGCGTAATTTACCTCGATTCGGCAGCTAATATTCGAAATTGCTAGGAAATTTCGAACGTTTGCGAAACTTAGGAGACTCCCCCGCACGTGCAAACGCGCGGAAATTCCGTTAAACCCGATACGAAATTCTATGTGCGAACGAAATTCTATCGATATATTTATCTTGGACATTTATTGTTCCATGCGACCTAAATTTGAAACCGCGCAAATCTCAAATTTAGCGAAGAGAAATTTGCACGAATGTCACATGTATTTTCTATTGTCAATTGTCGGGATCAACGCGAAATATCATCATTATTTAAAGAAACACGCATGTGATTTTTGAGAAAATTCTTAAGATTTGAAACAATCTGATTTTTCAACATTAATGTGGAAACACATAAGGAATTATAATTTACGATTAAGTAATAACTTGTTTTGATTGAACGATTGGTACTTTTTTTTCTCTGTATCCATAAATCAAAGTCAATAAACTTTCAAGGTTGCCGAGCGAGAATTCTCATTAGCTTCTTATCGTTATCCACTTCTAAATGACCCATCTTCAAACGTCGAAATTCTTCAATGCAGAATCAACAACGATTCCTCACCTTGGAAAGAAAATTGTCGGGGAATTCGCGTAGTCAAACGTTCGAATGAAAAGAAGATAAATATAGGGCGAGACCCTTGAAATTTCTGTAAGAAAAACTCACAATTTATTTCATCTCGATAGGCTTATCGATCGCTTTAATGACCATTGATATTGTCTGGGCAGATTAACTTGAAAACGCAAAAAACTCTTCTTTGCGCAACCGTCCCATCGAGAAAACATAAATCTTATTTGCCTATAAAACTGAAAGATGGTAACAAAAATGGCGCTACTTAAATTCAATATCAGAGTATAATTTTGTAAATGTATTTTGTAAAACGTTCTTGACATCGCGTATGCAAAGAGAAATAAAGCTTATTTTTATTTTTAGCACTTTTTATAATATATAGAGATTATACTTGCTTTATACTACTTATTACAGAGCATGTTGACATTTTCCATCTCATAATTTCATATCTATTATTATTTCTTTTTATATCTTTTTATTTCTTTATACCTAGAAATAATATACAATCTAGATTAATTCAAGTTTATCCATAGCAAATTTTTAATTGTATGATCTTTTGATTCCAAGAGAGAGAAAGAGAAAAAGAGAGAGTTATTTTTTCCGGAAATATTATCCGAGGATTGAGGGTGACTCATTATAGCGATTGAAAGCAGGAAAATCTCTTCGTTTTACCTGAGAGGAACGTAACAGCGGAATGATAGAAACAATGCGACTGATGAAAGCGAAATAATCTCGGTATTATCCTCAGAGAAAAGGCTTAGAGAAGATTGTAGAAAAGGGCTTATTTTTTAAATACTTTTTCGATACAACGATGTTGACAATATAATAATCTTTCGTTTCTTGATGAAAATATTGTGATCGATCAATGTAATCGGTGATCACAAGGGAATCAAATACAAATACAGTAGCCTGCATCCAAAAAATTTGACATGATATGTTGGTACTGATCGTTTTCTCTCGTAAATACCAAAGTGATTTAAAAAAAATTCTCAAATTTAATATATTTCATAGTTGGTTGATAAAAACATTTACAGATATTTGTTTGTAGATTGTCTGTTGTGTTTTTAACAAAAACATAACATGTTTCAAGAGTAGAGAAAAAACTTTTCGTAAAGAATATGTATATTATGATTATAAAATTTCAAGTATATTTTTTTTAAAGAACATTCTTCGATCTTTTAATTGTTGAGATAATCATTAAAAAATATTTATATTGCGTTGCATAAACTATTTTTATATTAGATATATAAAAATAAATCTTATATCTTTATTAACTAATATTTTCACCACAATATTAATATTAAATATTTTATCATATAATAAACATTGGGTTGCTTTTTATAATAAACTCAAATAACGATATTACGATAGATAAATGTGAGACTTCAGGCACAGATACACTAATCATAAGCTTGTATTGATTGTAAACAAATAAGATCTACATTTTTTTATCTGTTATTGCACCCATTAAATTTCATGTTTGTTCTTTCAGAAAAAAGGCATTTAAAAACTAATTTATTCCATAAATGTTTTAATAATGGAAAATTATGCGTGGTATAATATTTTTAATCCTCCCTCTTGTTTTATATTAACTGACATATTACGAATGCCTCATCTCGGAAATATTTCATACATAAAACAATAAAGAAAAAGTTTTATCTTTGGTCCACACACAAGACATAGAATTATTAGATCATGCATATTTTCCTATCATTAAAAAAATGTGCGCAATAAAATTGGTTTTTATTTTTGAGAAAAGAAACGAGATATCTCTCTGGTATAATAACGGACCAATAACCAAATGATATAAACATTTGTTTACAGCAATCATCAATACGAGGTTTTTATATCATTGATAGAAGACCATTAATTATATACAATTTAATTATATTAATTTAATTATATACAATTAAATCAATCAATTATTTATCGTCGACTGAAGAGAATTTTGAGTAAACACAAATTAGTCCCTAAGAAAGGAAGGATAAGAATGTACTATAAGATTGTCTGACATGTATACCAAGAGAAACTCGTATTTGCCTATCGTATTATCGCTATTCTGATCTCGAATATTTTGATTTTTTTAAACGGAAGATTTTTTTAAACGGAAATTTAGTTGGGCTGTTTATTTTTAATTATTATGGAAAAATCGGCTTGAAATTTAAAATTAGCTTTAAGGGAATAATCAGCAAAATAAATCTGAGATACCCTGTGCGTGTCGAAGCATGACACTAGCGAATTTTTATGTTTCATTTCTTTAAAAGAGCAATCAAGTGAAATTATCTGCGAGCGAGATAAACTCGATGAGTATACAAAGTATATATAATGGAAGAAATTATCGTAGACGTTATTGTTGGTGGAGAGAAATGAAACGAGACGTAGAGAGCATGTATCGTCGCGATGAAGCGAGTAGAAGAAGCGCAAACTCGCTCTCGATCATGTGAGAAAAAGAGAAATAGAGAGAGAAAAGGAGAGGGAAAGAGAAAGAGGAAAGAAGAGAGAGAACGGATCGTACTCGCGCGCGCGACGATCCCAGATGGAAGGACGAAGGGGCGGCAAAGAGGGTGGCTAGAGGGCCTGGAAGGGTGCCTAGGACGCGACGCGGTGGGGGTGAGTCAGGATTGGCTTTTCGCGAATGTGAAACTCACTAGTACGCTACCACCCACGCACGTAGTACGCACGTTCGCTCCACGTGTGCTCCGTCTAAAAGTTATCCCCGTTTCTCTCGCATCCAACGTGCGATCAGTAACAACGAGAGAGTTTTTCTTCAGGAACAAGGATTCAACGCATCCCGCGATGTAACTCGGAATAAACCATCTCTGCCGCAAGTATATCCAGCTGGGAAGATATTCAATCACAGAGAGAAAGAAAGAGAGAGATAAGAGAGAGAGAGAATTGTCAGTTACTGAGGAAAATTCGAAGATAAATAATGAAGAAAAATTACATGTCAATTGTCATATCATAACGAAATATTACATAAAACGGAGATGGAGCGTGCGATTAGAATTTACACTTGTGGATGTCATCACCGGGACGTATAAAGTGAGAACGAGAGATCTCCTTTTTTCTCTCTCTTATCGAAGAAAACACATTCACGAGGATAAACGAGAGCACAATTGGGCGAATGTCACGAGACACGATATGATATAAAAATTTTTGGCATTGTCTATTATCAAGAAAGAAAGTGAGCCAATACGATCTTCTATCTCACATGTTTGTAGCGTGATTTCCCGTTGAAAATTCGATTCGCTGTCGGATAGTAAGGATGAGTTTAAAGATCGGAACATCATATCCGTGATAGAAATATTCAAGATGATGATATTACATTACACGAAGCAGAGAACTTTTCACGTTTCCGACGATGGCGAAACTACAGATTTCCTAAGGCACGATAGATCTGAGTTTCCCTGAAGAAATCAAGAAGATCGAGGATTGTCGTTTTCGGCACAAAGTAAGTTTTAAAAGAATTTTAAAAGAATAGTTGAATCCAGAGAGTAGATCCATTTAAATAAAATGAAATATCAGTTATTACATTTATTACTATTTATATACATTTTTGATATTTCTCTACATGTATTATAAAATTATATAAAAAATAAAATCTATATGTATAGAATTGTTATTATTTTAATTAATTTTTAATCGATATTATATAGTTTTTTCAATTCATTTAGCTAGAAATGCTTATTTTTATTTATTTCGCTATTAATTATTTTAAATATTATATATGTAAATAATATTTTATATAATGTATTAATATATATTATATAATGTATTAATATATATTAATATAATTGTGTGTGTGTAATTATTTTATAATTGTGTGTGTATAATTATTTTTTTTTGCAATCCAATAATCTTATGAATTCATTCAATACTAATTGCTCAATATTAACATTTTGACCATTATTCATTTAGCCATTATTCGTACATCGATTGTAAAATTACATTATTATGGTAGAAATCAATCATTATTACAATAGGAACCGATGTAACGATAAAAGAACAAATAATAATAATAATATAAGAATATTCACAAATAAAATATCATGACAATTACATTTGTAATTATAAAAGTACAATGATATTACAATGCAATTTGATACAATTGGTGAGTGTGTTATCTAATAGGTATGGCTTCAATAGATAGTTTGAATGCGATTGGAGATAAAGCTTCTGCTATTTTATCTGCATAAAATATAAAGCTATTCTATTTCAATTTTTGCGCATGTATTCTCGTATATTTCTCGAGAAACTTGTCAAAATTTAATAGGAATGGAATCGATACAAAAATGTCGAAATAAAAAATTGTGTAAATTTTACATATTTTAGTTTTCGATATATAATTTTATTGATTCTTTTTCTTAAAAAGGGGTAAAATATTGAGATTTTTAAACAGTGAAAGAGAGAAAGAGAGATGGAAAGTATATTAAACTCTTTCAAATTTTTGATATTGGAAAGAATGAAATTGAATAAAAAATTTCTTTTCTACATTTTAAGTAATTCGAAAAATTGATTTTGAAAACAGATAATAAAAGAAATATATGTGTGAGATTCTATTAATATGTAACTGTTAAATCGTTCTTAATGTATAGGATTTCACATATTTCACATCCGCTAATTTTAAATTTGCATTGTAATATTCGTTCATCCGTTATCGATATCGAATATTGCATCATTACACTTGAATTCTTCTCTTATTGCGTTACTTTTTCATTAAGCAAAAATAATCAGCTTAATATTATGGCTCTCGAAATTATGGAAATTCAATTTACCACACTTTGGTGATGTATATTGGGCAAAATGAAAATGTAAGGAGTACGAAGTGAATATTATTTGCGCCAGTTCTTCATCTTTTTCTCTTTGCTGACATGAATTCACTTTCAATTATGAGCTCAACGTCATAGCATAGAAAATTGCAATTGAAAGAGAGAAAATATGTGTCTCTTTATAACTGAGAGAGGAAACGAATGAATAAAATAATTTATAATACCTTATAAATTACCGTTAAATTCTACGCTGTTAGTGGTTTAGTCGGTTCCAATTACAAATATTTTTGAACGATTTTTCTACCGTGCGTATCGGTTGCAGGTGTGGATTCGGTTTTGCAAGTAACTAAATAACGTTCGTGGCTACCCTGATGCGTCGATGAAGCGAATGTTCATCTTCATTAAATGCAAAGACGTTAATTGAATATTCCATGAAACGGAATACCGCTGTCAGGAAAATAGATGAGAATGTATCACGCATTATTTTACGATTACAATCAAAATGTTACAGAAATGATCGATTTTAATATCAAATTGATGATCACGGACGTCACGATATGATTTACACGGACGCTTTGTATTTATACGAACGGCTATATTTATTTTATTTTGAAACATTAATTTTACACACATCTGAGTATCATTAATTATTTAATATTATAATATATATGTAACAGAAAATTATAATAGGATGGGAAATAATAACATTGATGAAACGTTCCTTTTATAAATACGATTTCTAATTACTTTTTTAATCACATAACGCAAAATCATTTTATCCTTTAACGGTTGCGATTACATTTGTTTTTTTTTTTCAAATCTAATTGCTTTCAATGTATTATACGTTACATAAAATTGTTACATATTACGTTACATATTACATTACATATATTGTTACATATAACGGCATTATAATGTAATTTTGCTGGATGACGCGACAGATTTTTGCCATCTTTTTTACACGTACTTTTCTTGCGATGAGTTAGGAAAAAGTGTTGATCGTCTAGGCTAAAGATATATGAGATTGGGAGAAGATCGAAGATTGAACATTCGTGCGACAAAAGCTGCCGTTATAAAACTTCCCTTACAAACTACCGATGTCGTGATATAAACTTTTCGATTTATGTTACATTATTACCTTTATACTATTTCTGATTTTTTTTTTATTATAAAATCATAGTAAAATATCTAGAGAATATATTATCATTTTTCAAATTTTATCCATGCTGATATATAAAACATTTTATTTTAATTTTACAAAATTGAAACTTAATAATTTCTATAAGATTAAAATTATTAGATAAAATTATTCTGTTGTTATGAGATAGAAATAAAATAATTCACGAGACAATAATTGTATATACATGAATCTTCACTAAAATCAAGATAGATCAATCAAAGTTTGCGATATTAAAAAGTTTCGTTATTTGAAGAGGATAATGCAACATATATAATCTCTATTTTTCTTTTAACAAAATAAGTTATATTCACAATTTTATCCAGTAGCTGGCAGCCTCTTTTGTACGAACATTATGTATCTCCTACGAAGGAAATGCAATTACGCTTGCGACGTACCGAAGTTTCCGTTGAAAGGATGACACATTAGAATTCATTGATTTTTTCTCGCGTCATAAAGAAAATATCGATTGCAATGATAAAAGACTGTCTATAAGGGAATTTGAAATAATGACGCAAATATATGAAAGAATCGATATCATACTTTATTCTAAAGAAAATTGCTTTTCTCCATTTTTTTTCTTTATTTTTACAACTGAAATAAATCGTAAAAATGCTTTTTTTGTCCAGAGATAATCTCGGGCAATGCTTAAATTTATTTTTCTGATAGTCCGCGAATTGCAATCTTCTCTCAATTTACCAGATTGTATAATTAACAATAAAAAGCTTTTTTTCAGAAGTCATTCTGTTCAATTTATAGAGCCATTTTCGAGAATTTAATTTTTCTACAAAATATTTACGTGGATATTTTTGATGAGTTTTAAAATATAAACAAAGCAATTCTGCAACGAATGATGTTTTACGCATAATAATGAAAGCACAAAGCAGGAGGCAATTAATGTTATTGGCCAATGATAAGTCGTCTTAAAAATATACAAACAATTAATAAAATAATTTAGCTCGCGCAATAATAAAGTATTTATATTGCGCAATTATTTTTATAATAACGAATCGTGCAAATGGAATCGCGGTTACTTTAAAAACGCGATGAAAAAGCTACTCCAACAAGGCGCTAGTTCGAGTCGCTGTTTCGAGACTCCTTATCGTTTAGAGGAGATGAAAACGTAGAGTTTCTCAGCGATGGCATCTCTTTCGTGGCCAGGAACACGTAATCGAAGAACGTGGCTCTCCACTGCCGGAAAATCAATGTTATCTAGAGAGTATCCAGAAGAAGAAGGAGAAAGAGAGAATAGAAATTAAGTCGAGTGTTCGGTGCGATGATGTTACTCGAGAGCAATTTAATAAAGAGACTAAATTAATTCACGATCGCAGTGATTGTTTTCGTTTCTTTATCTGTTTATTCATTCATCTTTTTTCGGACGAATGACCAAACGTCAAAAGTTTTCCACCATGTGTAATTTAAACGAAATAGGTTGTCACGCGGACGCGCGTGTCCGATCCACCTACGTGTCAACTTGCGCATGACCGATGGTCATGTATTGTATAAACCCACGCTATAAATACCAAAATAACAGATTGATTTATGATCGTGCGTATCTCTCTTTTTTTCGTGATTTACGGTATCTCGAGGCGCCGTCGAGGCTGCTTGTAGAATACAGAGAGAGAGAGAGAGAGAGAGAGAGAGAGAGAGAGAGAGAGAGAGAGAGAGAGGGAGAGAGAGAGAGAGAGAGAGAGAGAGGAGAGTTTATACGTTCTCTCTATCTCTAAAATATACATTTATCTTCTCTACTGATGAGGCTGTGACAGATAAATTAAAATTTCCAGTCGATAAAATATCGCGCACGCTAGATAATTCACGTCTACATGTCAAGACTGAATATATTTATATGCTATAATATATTCTCGATTTATGTATTATAATTCTCCCTTATTTTTTCTATCGTTTACGACGATTTATCATTGAAAAACGTGTCATATTCATCGCGATTATCTTGAACTTACGTATTAATGTAACGGAAATAACACAAGTCGATACTTTTCCGTCCTCATTCTTCTTAAACAGTTGATCTGTTGTTCTTTCCAATTCTTTTTCGCTATTATCTTACAAACGTACATATCATAAAACATTTAACTTCACCTCTAAAAATCGATCTTCCGAATTTATTATACGCGATATGCATTATGGTATTTTATCCTCGAATATAGGCAAACAATTTGAGGACTTTCTGTCCAGCCATTTTGTATACACACAGTTAAAAAAGATTTTTTGTAGAGCGAGAAAAGATATGAAAGTAGATCTGCAAAGGGCAGAAAGAGAAGAAGGAAAAAAAGGAAAAATAAACTGTAAAAAGCGAGATATTTTGCGGTGGAAGCCACATTCGCGATACATGTAGGCTTTCGACACATACACGCACTTAATCGCGCGTACCTGTATCGGCGCACAACGATGGGCCGGTTGAATTTTGAATGCGACTAATACACGAGACCAGCGATATACCTATCTACCTAGCCACGAGATCGATAAAGGCGTGTTTTCGGCGAGAAA